AAAAAAAAAAAAAAAAAAAAAATCTAAAAAGTAATCTACTCGTGTTACTCCCTCATTTAAAATCCTTCTATGGCGTCTTAGTGGACTCAGCATAAGCCCAAACTTCTTAGTGTGATTTTCCAGTCTTTCTGCAACTTTCTTACTGCTCTACTATCCCTCTAGTACAGCAATTTTCAACCTTTTTCAATCTCATGGCACACATAAACTAATTACTAAAATTCTGCTGTATACCAAAAAAAATTTTTCTGATCTGACAAAAAAAAGGTATAATTTTGATTCATTCACAACGGATAGCTATTGTTCTGTTGGCTGTTGTCATTTTTTTTTTTCTTTAAATATGTCTTTATTGATTTCAGAGAGAGGAAGTGAGAGGAGAATTAGAAACATCAATGATGAGTGACTGATTGGCTGCCTCCTGCACGCCCCCCACTGGGGATCAAGCCTGCAACCCAGGCATGTGGCCTGACTGGGAATCAAACCTCAATCCCCTGGATCACAGGTTAATGCTCAATCACTGAGCCACGCTGGGTGGGTTGCTGCCATTTTTTTTGTTTGACAATCTAAGTGAAAAGGGGTAGATCAGTGCCCCTGACTAAATACCTAGCTACTGCATGTTTTAAAAATTCTTGCAGTACACCAGTTGAAACTATTTGCTCTAGTACTTTTAAGTTCTAACCATAGAAAGTAAACTGTTATTTATCAGAATGTATCATACCCCTGGCCTTTTTCACATTTTCCTGTACATGGGACCCTAAGCCTTTTCTTTTAGGTCTGGTTAACTTCTATTTATTTTTCAGGTCTCAGCTTAGACACTACTCTAAGTCCTTGTTTCTCCCTGTTACATCACTTATCACAATGACTTGAAACTGCCTTAGTTTTAAATATCCTTCAATAGCAAATATACTCTGTAAGAATATGGATTGTATCTATGTTATATTCTATAGTATTGCCAGTGCCTAGCACAGTGTCTGGCACATAGTAGGCATTCTTGTTATTTTAAATTACATATAGCATAAATTAATATTGTATTGAATATTACAATATTATGGTGGTAGTTGTAGTGGAGTGCTGCTAGTATCAAGCAAGTAGTTAAAATACTAGGTCTTTTCATTATATTTTTAAGCTTCTTTCTAGCAGAGGCCCTAGCTGGGTAGCTTAGTTTGTTAGACAGTTGTCCTGATACAACAAGGTTGCAGGTTCAATCCCCGGTCAGGAAACATATAAGAATCAACCACTGAATGCATAAATAAGTGGAACAGCAAATCAGTGTTTCTATCTCTCTCTTAAAAAAGCAATTAAGAAAAGCTTCTTTCTAGCAAAGAAATACCAATATTCTGTACTCAATGATCATAAAACTCTCCCCTTATTACCTCTTTTCATACAATAAAGCAAAAAGCACATAAATTAAATACATGTGTATTATTTTAGTCTCATAAACATGTCATTCCATATTATTTATATAATTTTTAAATGTAACACAATAAATGCCTTAAAAAGTACATATGGAGATATGAGTGCCTTACTGAATGATAATTATATGACTCCATCTAGGTTCAATTATGATACACAGTAAGTAGGTGCTAAGTTTCCTTCATTTGGGATTTGGTGTAAATTCATATGATAGAAAATCATGTTAAAGGACAGCCACAGAAACTTAAGCACACTATACCTTAATACAAACACAAACTGCAGAGGGCATAATGAAAACAATCTCCTTAATATTTATCAAAAACTTTTAAGTATGTGACCAAAAAAAATTAGTCTTGTAGTCAAACGCTTTCCAATACAAATGAGTATCTCTTATCTCCACGTATTATCTTCATGTATAAAAATCTGATTCATTTTTAAGAAGTGAGACTTTAAGTAATATTTTATTAAGATTAGCTATTACAAAATCATTACTTCCTTTAATTTTATTAGTAATAATCTATATAATGGCCGACTTATAGGCATTCTCTTCTTAAATAATTATTTTGGTTTTGTTATAAGTATGTACATCCAAGATGTAACATTAAAATATTATTTAAGAGGGATTCCAAGGTGGCAGCAGATGAGTGGAAGCTACACTGACACTCTCTCAGGACCGAACTGGAATTACAACTAAAATCCAGAAAAATCATCCTGAATAATCAACTGAAGACTAGGTGGAGAGCACCCTCATGACCAAGGAAGTAAAGTGGAGCCACACAGAAACTGGTGGGAAGTGTGGAGGCGCAAGAGGGCTGGCTGGGCTCCCACAGGCAGCAGCTGAAGGTCAGGAGGGATATCTCAGGTGTGGGGGGTTCCCACTGAGGACTCTGGGGTTTAAACTCCAAGCTTGGCTTCCCAGCCAAGAGCACCAGAACTGAGAAAGGTGCCCACATAACATATGGCTGTGAAAAGCAGCCGGGTTTCTGTCTGCCAGGGAGAGATGGCTGGAAATGCAGGCACCCTCTTAAAGGGCCAATGCACAAAGTCTGTATGCAGCTACTCAACTTAGGCTCTGGCAGAAGGTAGGCAGAGTGGATTAGAGCTGTGTGAGGAGAGTCTGGGATTGCTAGCTCAGGGGAGTAGAGCTCAGAGGGCAACCAACTGGATTCCTGTACTGAGTCATTTCCCCACGTAGCAGAAGACATCTTTCTCAGGCAGACATTTACCACCCAAGCAGCTCTGGCCTGGGGGGGAGGGGAAGCAACTGCCCCACCCTGTTTTAAAACCTCTTGCCCCACCCTGTGGAGTTTCTACAGGCTGAGGCTCATTATGAGACTGAATAAAATTCAGCCTCTGGGTGCTCAGAGTCTTTATCTGATTTGCTTCAGAACCTAGAGCTTGGAGAAGCAGACCTTGCTGCATATCTTGGAACATTTCACCCAGCCCCAGCAGGGAGAACCACAAGTTGTGGAGTGCAGAAAGCTTCAAACAGGTTACTCAAGGCCAGTCACAAACAGTGTCTGACACTGGCCTGCACCAGAGACCATCGAAAACACTGAGAGTCCTAGTAGATCTACCTAATACATAGAAACAAATACAAACTGACAGCCAAAAACGGGAGACAAAAAAACAAGCCCCCAATGAAAGAACAAAAGAATTCTCTAGAGGAAGAGATAAATGAAATGGAGATAAACAATCTATAAGATGTAGAGTTCAGAATACTGATCATAAGGATGCTCAACTGCATGAGAAAAGAAATGGAAACTATGAAGGAAATTAAGAATAATATAAGAATAATATAATAGAGTCTAGCCAATGTGGCTCAGCAGTTGAGCATCAACGTATGATCCAGGAGACTGCAGTTCGATTTCCAGGCAGGGCACATGCCCAGGTTGTGGGCTTGATATCCAGCAGGGGGCATGCAGGAGGCAGCCAATCAATGACTCTCTCATCATTGATATTTTTATCTCTCTCTCCCTCTCCCTTCCTTTCTCTGAAATCAATAAAAATATATTAAAAAAAAAAAAAGAATGACATAGTAGAAATAAAAAATACATTGGAAGGAATAAACAGCAGATTAAAGGAAGCTGAGGATCGGATCAGGGAATTAGAAGACAAGATAGAAAAAAATCACTTAATCAGAGACACAAAAAGTAAAAACAATAAAAAATCTGGAGGACAGTTTAAGGGAGCTGTGGGACAACATAAAACCTAACAATGTTCACATCATAGGACTGCCAGAAGAGGTAGAAATTAAGCAAGGGTTAGAGAACCTGTTTGAAGAAATAATGGCAGAAAACTTCCCTAACCTGGTGAAGGAAAAAGTCACACAAGTTCAGGAGGCACAGAGAGTGCCAAGCAAGAAGAACCCAAAGAGGCCCATGCCCAAACGCATCATAATTAAAATGCCAAAACTTCAAGACAAAGAGAGAATCTTAAAGGCACCAAGAGAAAAGCAAGCTGTTAAGTACAAAGGAGCTCCCATAAGGCTGTGAGCTGATTTCTGATCAGAAACTCTACAGGCCAGAAGGGAATGACATGAAGTATTAAAGGCAATGAAAAGCAAGGACCTGAAATCAAGACTACTCTATCCAGCAAGGCTATCATTCAAAATAGATGATGAAATAAAGAGCTTCCTAGACAAAAAAGGGCTAAAGGAGTTTATCACCACCAAACCAGCAATGCAAGAAATGTTAAAGGGACTGGTGTAATAAGAAATAGAAATAGAGAGAGAAATACAGGCATAAAGAATTAAAATGGCAATAAATAAGTACCTATCAATAATAACCTTAAATGTAAATGGAATAAGTGTTCAATCAGTAGACATAGGGTAGCTGAACTGATAAGAAAACAGGACCCAAATATATCCTGTCTACAAGAGACCCACTTCAGAACAAAGGACTGACACAAGCTGAAAAAAACAAAAACTTCTGGCGGACTTTAAGGGAGAGATCAACAGCAATACAGTCATAGTAGGGGATTTTAATACCCCACTGACTTTACTGGATAGATCCTTCAGACAAAATATCAAGAAGGAAACAGTGACTCTAAATGACACACTAGATCAGATGGATTTAACTGACATTTACAGAACATTTCACCCAAAAGCTGCAGAATATATAATCTCCTCAGTGCATATGGGACATTCTCAAAGATAGACCACATGTTAGGACACAAAACAAGTCTCTACAAGTTCAAGAAGACTGAAATCATATCAAGCATCTTCTTGGACATGTAGGCCATGGAATGCTATGCAGCTATAAAAAAGAAGAATCCCTTACTATTTGAGACAGTATGGTGGGACCTGATGCATATTATACTAAGTAAAATAAGTCAGTCAGAGAAAGACAAGTATCACATGATCGTACTCATATGTGGAATCTAATGAACAAAATAAACCAATGACCAAAATAGATCCAGACACACAGAAGCATGGAACAAAGTGAAGAATCTCAGAGGGAAGGCAGGGGTGGGTGCGGAGTGATTAACCTAAGAACTTATATGAATATATGCATAACCCATGGACACAGACAACAGTGTGGTAAAGGTCTGGGGCTAGGGAGGGGGGTGGTTTGCAGGGTGGAGGG